ACTCTTATAGGACACTCTTGTGGGACACTCTTGTGGGACACTCTTGTAGGACACTCTTGTGGGACACTCCTATAGGACACTCTTGTGAGACACTCTTCTTGTGGGACACTCTTGTGGGTCACTTGCAGGACACTCTTGTGGGACACTCTTGTAGGAAACTCTTGTGGGACACTCTTGTAGGACACTCTTGTGGGACACTCTTGTGGGACACTCTTGTAGGACACTCTTGTGGGACTCTTGTCGGACACTCTTAAGGGACACTCTTGTGGGACGCTCTTGTGGGACACTCTTGTGTGACACTCTTGTAGGAAACTCTTGTGGGACACTCTGTGGGACACTCTTGTGTGACACTCTTGTAGGAAACTCTTGTGGGACACTCTTGTGGGACACTCTTGTGGACACTCTTGTGGGACACTCTTGTGGGACACTCTTGTAGGACACTCTTGTAGGACACTCTTGTGGGTTAACTCTTGTAGGAAACTCTTGTAGGACACTCTTGTAGGACACTCTTGTGGGACACTCTGTGGGACACTCTTGTGGGACACTCTTGTGGGACACTCTTGTAGGACTCTCTTGTGGGACAGTCTTGTGGGACACTCTTGTGGGACACTCTTGTGGGACACTCTTGTAGGACACTCTTGTGGGATACTCCTGTAGGACACTCTTCAGGGACACTCTTGTGAGACACTCTAGTGGGACACTGTTGCGGGACACTCTTGTGGGACACTCTTCCAGCTCCCGAGATACTCCGCGTACTAAAGTTGTACTACAAGGTCGCCAGTTCTCAGCTTCCAGCTCCACAGATTGCTCCGCGTACTAAAGTTGTACTACAAAGTCGCCAGTTCTCAGCTTCCAGCTCCACAGATTGGTCCGCGTACTAAAGTTGTACTACCAAGTCACCAGTTCTCATCTTCCAGCTCCCCAGATACTCCGCGTACTAAAGTTGTACTACAAAGTCGCCAGTGCTCGCCTGCATTTCGCGCGCTCGACGCGCACGATCTTTGCAGAGGGTTGCGCGCGCATGGGACAAATCACACTCTCGCCTGCATTTCGCGCACTCGACATGCACGATCTCCACAGAGGGTTGCGCGCGAATGGGACAAATCGCACTCTCGCCTGAATTTCGCGCACTCGACACGCACGATCTCCGCAGAGGGTTGCGCGCGCGTGGGACAAATCGCACTCTCGCCTGCATTTCGCACACTCGACACGCACGATCTCCGCAGAGGGTTGCGCGTCAAGTCTCCAAAACGAGCGTTTCGTACGAGACTTCCTCCGAAAGTCAAGCGGAAACACCCATCGGAGCACACACATCACGCAGCCCTGCCAAGCAGTTTCGCGATTCCAGCCCCTCCAAACAACATCCGCCCACACGCCAATCCCAATGTGACAGCGACATTCACCTCTACCACAACTCACAACCTCACGATTCCCTGCGCCTGCCACGAATCTTTCCGCGTCCACACGTCTAACGCGCGCAAAGTACTGCGCCTGCCACGAAATGTCACCTCCGTCACACCTCGCAACCGCACGATTCCCTGCGCCTGCCACGAGAATCGCACTTCCACGCCTCAAAACCCGCACAAAGTCCTGCGCCTGCCATGAAAAGTGACAATATCATCTCATGTGAGCTTCAACAAAATTTGCACCACACCACACGTTTGGAATGATTTCGACCCGTTCTGAGCACACTCCCATCCACCAAAATCGCCATTTCAGCTGAGACTTGTCACGAAAACCGAGCTTCGATGCCACACCCCGAAACGCAAATCCCAATGGCACGGCCACATCCAACACCCCAAAAACACGACTCTCCAAACGCTAATCCCAATGGAACTGCGCAGCAATCCGCGGATCTCACAAAACGCTGTGCCTGTGCAGCGACATGGGGTGCCGCTCTCTTTAAAATTTTTGTCCCAGAACGGCATGGAGTCGAACACCAACTACTGGAGATACTGCAAACTATCAATGTATAAAGCCCTCTTCATGCGGGGGTTTTATTAATCAACCGTCTACATTCGTCGAGAATAGTACTGTGGACAGTTTTATCGACACAGTCGCCATGAGCTGCCAATGTTGGAAATACTTCGGACACAATTTACCTAGAAAATATTAAAATTCATGGTTGTGCTATACATAGAGAATAAACTGCAGCAAAGGCTCCATATACCGCCTGTTCTTGATGATGATCAGCTGGTACTAGGTACTACTTTTGCTTGCAGCATTGGTGAATGCTTCAGGGAGTCAAGGTATCAGTAAAACATTGACGACGTTGATGTAGTTGGCAGTGCAGGCGCTGGGTGATGGTATTGATTCAGTTAGAACGTGGAAAAACACCAAAGGATACATGGGGTGATTTGAGTCAAAAAACAATGGTCCGAAAATCTTGATCCCAATGTCAAACCATCGCAATTCCAAGCGGCGGTCTCGTTATCAGTTGTCTGAACTGGAATCACTGTCAGAATCTGTACTGTGGTCAGAAGAAGCCTAATCCTCAGAAGCATCCCGCAGTCTTTGGAGGTGCTGCTGTGCCTGCTGAAATCTGGCGTACCTCTTGGCCCTACATTTTTCTGCTTGTTACATCATGGAAAAAATGAAAAAAACCGACGACTTTCTGCACCATGTGGTCAGCTGGTCAGTTTGAAGAAGTACTGATGTCGTTCAGATGTCGTTTGGATGTCGTTTTGGATGCCGTTCAGATCACCATCAAAAAACTTCTGCGGCAGGTCTGACCAGCACGCCAGCGAAGCACTGAGTATGTCGTTCAGTATGCCGTTTCCAAGCTAAATGCATTGCCCTCAAACTCTTTAATGGTTGCGGCGGTGCAGCTAATTCTGACCATTTCTGACCCCTGGGATCACCCACTACATGTGCACATCTTGCTGGGTTTTTTGCCACTCATTTATGTTGGACAAGCAGGGCTCATGATGTCTTCGTAGGTTGCTTGTAGTGCGAATGCATAAGATGGTAAAGTCTAAGTCTATGCCTGCATCTTCCCTTACCTCAAATCTCTCTTTAGGAAAAAATACTGAAGTGAGACGTTAAAAATGTAGTAGCTGCTACCGTTTGTAGGCATGTGTATGTGTGCATGTGTGTATTTCTGTATGTATGTTGGGTCTATCCTGTTATCAGTAACAGTGGATGATGATGATGATGATGACGACGACAACGAGGATGATGATGATGATGAACATGATGACTAGTAAAGGCCTTGTTCAAAAATAGTGATAATTGTCTACTGATTGTTGCAGGCAATAGGGCAAACCCAATATGTAATATTTATGCATGCATGCACGCATGTATGTGTGTATAAACAGTACATATGTTTGCCACCACATGAACGCCAAAGCATTAATCATATATGAATTGATAGTGAATTCTATACAAAAACATCGGTTTGGGGGGGTGGACCAGTGGACCTTGAATGTAACCTTAAACAACAAATGACAACACGGAACCACAAAATATGCTACACTCCCCAGAATGTACGAGGAAGTAAACCTTGGCGAGGACGCTATTTACGAGGAAGCTGCTGACCATGTATATTCCCCGGGAATAGACCAACAGGCAGGTAAGCCCAATTAGCAAACGAGGAAGAGTGAAAAAACAGCCATATGCATTAACGAGGAAGCTGACCTTCCCCTGCATCCCTGGGGAATGACCAGGGGAGGGGAGGGAAGCAAAGGCTCCAGTAAAGGATTAAACCAGGAAGTTAGTTGTAAAACTGCTTCCTTGTAAGCTCTGGAAAGAGTAGACGTTTTTGGGGGTACCTAGAGATTTACGTGGTGGTCAGTGGATGGTTCTTGACATGCCCACTTGCGCATAGGAGTTCCTTCAACCACAAAAAGGTGTTTACAGTTTACATAAATATCTATTTGCTGGATTGAAGATTCAAAAGGTGAGGAAAACCTCTATTTTCTGGAACTTAAAGTACTGTAGTCTCTGCAGCCAAATAAATAGTTTACACTATTGTTCGGTTCTCGGTTGCGCAAGGTACCAAACGCCAAACAACCTAGCCAGCCAGATATCTGGTAATCGGACCTCAAACAATCTGATAAATGTGCAGTGATCCTGCACTTTGGCTCAATATCCCTTCATGAATGACAATTCTTTTTATGAGGGCCTCACCTTGTGTGAGCGTATCATCTCCATTTGTGAACAGCTCAGTCCTACTTTTGTTCAATAAAGACATTATCCTGTGCAAAAACCCTGCCCCCTGAAAAATTGACATCATCCTTCATGGAAGACACCTTGGTCCATTCATAACAGCCAGAAGCCTTTGAGGAACGTCGCTCAACCCCGTTGCTTGTGTCCAGGACAGGGGTTGGATTCTATTGACTTTGGGCACGTAGAAAGATCCCATAATGACAATGTGTCCTTGAATAAAAGGTCGATTGTTCGATAAAACGAAAGAGCCTCCAACCTAGAAGCAATGGCCTCCAACCTAATAGCGATGGCCTCCATCATGCGTCCAAACATTCTGGGAAAGGGTCGAACTACAGTGCAATCTGCAGCCCATGCCTGATTCCAAGTCCAGAAACGGTGGGTGTGCTGTCTTATTATCAGACACGGGAACAGAAGAAACCGTGCCATGCCCTTCGCCAAGGCTAAGATCTTCACTAACGAAATGTCTGTAGGCCCGCTTCCCTGCGACAACCAACAGTGGATTGAGGAGCTGGCCACATCGGCATACAACATCATATCATACTGCTCGTTTTGTTGAATCAAGTGCCACATAGTGCCACAACTACACACCAGGCCACTGCCTGCCCTGCAAAGCAAGGATCCATAGTCCCTTAGGAGTTGATCAGTGTCTTTAACTGATCAAACGAAGCGAAGCTCAAGTGAAGCTCCTTTTCCTCCCCAACCCGCAAGCACACAAGACAGGTGGCTTTCCACCTGTGGGCGTGGGACTTGCCCAATGCCAAGACACATCCATGCCCAGCCCACAAAACTGGACTGCCTGGCCACGTGGCTCAGGCTCACCTCGCTACAACTTCGTACTGCTCGAATGGCAGTGTATCAGATTATCAGGACAACGGAGCTGCGCGTTGAATCAAAGTATGTAATCGTTGTTACTTTAGGGGCTCGCATCTTGGGCCCATCATGTCGCTTGACCTGTGCACACGTTTGTCTACTTTGGCGCCGCTGTCAATTCAGAACGGGGTATTTGCTGTGCAGTCCATCGGGCACGTGGATTTCTGGCAGCTCAGGTTACGAAGACAGAAATGGCCAGGCTTTACAGAACTGATCACAGCCTGAGGCAGCTGTCATACATACCACTATTGCTTCGCCTTGAAATCCACACATCCGGTGGGCAAATACCCATTCGTCGCCCAGTCAGCTCAAACTGAGTGCTACAGTCAGTGCAACCTCCGTTTTCAGGCAGCATGAGGAGAAAAACAGGGAGCACTGCTGAGCACTGCCAAAACAAACAAAGCTGCGCTTGGGCCTGTTGGGCCTCTTGGGCCACGCACTGTCAAGGAGGTTGTGAGGTTAGCGATGGCTTGAGGACCTTGATGCAACTAGTAACAGGGCATCGCTAGTAGCTTCTTGCTACTAGTAATAGCAAGGTGCCGTACTAGTAGTAACAAGCTACTAGTAGCATTAGTAGCAGGACACCTTGCTGAAACATTGCACAGCCTGCGCCCACAAGGCGCCAAGGTTGAGACCGAGAAGGCACATGTCAACTCGTCGTCAATAGAGAGCACCTTGAAACATAGAAACAAACATGCAGCATTTGTATATTGCTCATTGCATTCCATGGCGAGCTCAACTTACGTCTTATAACTACTTCCGAAGTTCGCAGTGCAACCAAACGTCAGCCGCTGCATTGTCAAACTCTCCGCAGTAGTTTGGTGCAGAAAAAAGGGTCACCTCGACTCAAAAAAGCGAAAGAATAGCAAGAGAGAATGACCAAGAGAATGACTCAGAATGACCAAGAAGACACGGGGGATCTGCAAGAACAGCAAGATGTGCTGCCAAGTGTCAAGTCCTCTGTTGGAGAAGAACTCGTACCCATCCTCAACAACCTCGTCACTGAGCTTTAAATTGCGGCATCAGTGCATGCTCATGTCCAAAGGAACATCTCAAACCTCACAATTCCCTCGGCCTGGTGTGCTCTAACAATCCTTGGGCAACCAAACGATAGAAGCAAAAGCTATTCAGATTCCCTGTGTTTGTTTGACCTTTGACTTTAACACAGCTCGTGTTGAGTTTTTGCTTAGCTGCTTGGCCAAGTCGCAGGTCGAAATCATGTAGCTTCAGGAACTGCTGAACAATCTCTGGCCCAAACGAAACCGAGACACCCCGGTCATTCACTCCAAAGCCCTGGGTGGCCTGGCCAGCAGCTGCCCTTACCAAAAGAACATGCAAAAACAAGAATTAATTATGCTGCCCTCCTGACACAGCAATGGCGGGCTGCTGCACGAACCGGAGGCGCTTTTCAATGTGTTCTCTGCTATTTTTGTCATTGAAAGGAGGAGTGCAAAGGCAGAATTGGCAGCTATAAAAGTCGGCAAAAGGCGACCAAAGGTCATGATCACGTGCATGTGTGACACACAACACGGGAAGCGAAGTTGACAGCGAGAAAAACTGAAGTCCGCGGGCCAAACGTCAGCTTCTGAGGATTTAGAAGTGGCCCTGGGCCTCGGATGGATCCGACCATAGTAGGTCACAAAGGAACCCAGAGTCCGGAATGTCTGCAGGCCTCGCATAGCAAGTTTCAAGTACTGAGGGGTGCGAAGATTCGTTACGCTCAACCAGCCTTTGCATGGAATTGATCTTGCTCCGCAAGTCAACTTTGGCGTCTATCATATCGAAGGACAGCCCACCATGCATGCAAATCACCTGCCCGGTGGGCTACTACAAAATGCTACATCGACTGGGAACTCATGAAGCTGCCTTATCCGCAATAAGGGCACACGCCGGCATATAATTGAAGACATCACCTGGTGTTTCAAGCAGCTTCTCTAAAATCCTTCAAGTTAGAAAGCAGGCATAAGGCATAAGTTCTTCTCTACCGTGGCCAGCAACATGTTCAATTGGCATGCAGCCATGTTGCACATGAGGTGTCAAAAGCTTTCCAATAGAGCCAAGCAGCAAAAAGTTTTCCAAATCTTGATGCTGTAGCGTGACTTGCATTCGTCATAAAAGCCATAGATCCTTCGAAGCGAGATAAGCAGGCACATGTTGAAGGTGCATGCATGCCAGAGCCAAAGCCTACAAATGGAGGGCGACTCATGATTTCCACGTAGGAGGAAGAAGTTCTCTGGAAACTTGACCTGGCAGTGAGACAAGCAAATGCAGAAAGCAAGAAGCATGCAGCTGCTGGTGTCAACCGGCCTTGTAGGCAAAAAGCAAGCAAATCGTCTCCAAGCTGCGCTTTCCTCTATCAACGTAGTCACCCAAGAACAAATAGTTGGCCTCTTGGGATGCAAATCAAGGGCTGAAACAGGTGTAGAAGTCATGCACCTGCGGGGGATACCCGCTAGTGTCAAAGATTCTCAGGAGGTCATGGTACCTGTCAATATTGGCGACGCGGGACAGTATATTCTCAGCCATTCGGCTGGCCACTCTGGAAGTTCATTGGCACTGAACCCCTTGAACTCAGCTAGGCGCTGGCCATGGACATCGCCGCAAAGATTCAGCGGAGACTTGGTTAAGTCGATTTAGAAAAGCGAGCAGGGGTGTTGTGGTCTAGAATTCAAACTCCACCAGTTCTGCCACAAGAGCTCGGAAAAATAATCAAGCATGACACAATGCGTGAGATACACTGAGGAAGTGACATCCAGCTCCAGGAGCATTGGCTGCTGATGGAATATGGTCAAAGCCACATGGCACAAATCTTTCACAACTTCCTGGACAACGAAATGGTGTGGATGAACATCGAAAATAATTGGACCAACTCCACAGTGGGACGTCCTCAGGAATTGTGACTGACTGATTGATGGGAGGCCTGCGGCCAACCGAACAGCAAGCCAAACACGCTGATAATTCTTCGTTTTCCCTCATGGGGAAAACTTGTTCCTGTGGAAGTACAGGATCAATCCTCAAAGTATATAATATGCTCATACGAGTGAGGCCGGTCCCCACGCAAGAGCATGTGCCATGAAATGCCCCAGCCTGCATCTGTTTGTCTGGATGCTTGTGACATGTGCGAGCAGAAAGAATTAGATATGGACATGGATATAGACATATGACATATGTCATGTGGATATATTATAGAGAGAGAGATCAACGGGCAGGCGACTCATAGGCTCAATTTGGAACACATCGCATCGTGTCGGTTTAGACTGTGAACACCGTATCAAAAAGAATGCAACGAAAAGAAACGGAAAAAAAGAAGACATGCGTTCCAAAACGAGATTAATGATTAACCTCCCGTGTTCCAAACGAAACTAATCCTGCATTCGAAAACCAGGTGGCTCCCATATATGGTAGGTGTGAATGTCACTCCATGACATGGACTGAGGTTGACTAAGGAACGTCCGCTGCTTGGCACGAACCCTTTTGCCACCTCCACTCGCGACCTCCTAAGATGGGAGGGACCGCTTGAGCACCTCGAGCCATGCCTACGTTGGCGTGAAAAGGACGCGCCACCTGTTTCGAGAGAGGGCGACACTTCGTGCGGTTGTTCTTGGATTGGTTGCAGTTTGTTGCTACCTTCAAATTGGTAGCGGAGCCCCGGCCAGGGGCTCCCTACCGTGCTGCCAGTTGACAGTTGGTTGTTGAGTTTGAAAGTTGGTTGGAGTTGAACGTTGGTACATTGCTCTTGCACCCTGTACGTTGCACACTGGCCTTTGCTTGTTGCACATTGTACATTGTACATTGAGCAAGTCGACATTGAACATTGGACATTGCACCCTGGCCGCTGACCGCTGTACATTGTACATTGCGCCCTGGTCGTTGACCGTTGTTCATTGAGCAAGTTGACATTGAGCATTGGACATTGCACCTTGGTCGTTGATCGTCGTACATTGAGCATTGCCACACGTTGCGCAGATGGCTTCGACTTCGAGCACAGCTGGTGACACCACAAAGGGCAATCGGCCTCAGGACTACAGAGACAGAGAGTGGAGGGCTCGCATCCACCTGTACTACAAGAAGATGCAACTGCAGAAGAAACCTGTTGAAGGAATCATCAACATCCTCACCACCATGACCGGCACCGCATGGAAGCAGTTGGAACCCCAAGCTGACGCATTGAGTGAGGACAAGGAAGGTTTCTCAAAGTTGATTGCAGTGTTGGACAGGACGTTCCAATACGATGACCGTGTTGAGCAACCAAGGGCCTTCGAGAAGTTTTTCTATAGCCTCTCAAGAAGGCCGGATCAGACATTGATGTCGTACTGCGCTGATCATCGTGAGGCACTGCGGGAGGTCCAGAAACACAACATCTCCCTGCCGGCGGAAGTGACTGGTTGGCTCCTCCTTCGGAGGAGTGGGTTGTCTCAGGAGCAAAAGCAATTGGTACAATCGCAGTGTGGAGCAACATTGGAGGAAACAAAAGTTGAAGAAGCTATGTACTTTTTGTTTGGCCAAGATTTTCGTGGCCGCTCCACCTATGACCATCGTGGCAAGCCCTACAATGCACCTCGCTCAGCTGGAAAGCATGCCTACAAGTGGCAGAAGAAGGGCTCCCAAGCGGCATACGCCGCCAACGATGATGACCCCGACCTTCAGGACTATGAAGTTGATGAGGCTGACGCCTATTTTGGTGATTGGCCGGAGGATCCTGAAGAGGTCAACTATGAGGAGGACGAGCTGGAAGAAGTTCTCCATCAGGAGGACGAT